CGCGAGACTTGTCGAGAGCGAACTTTAAGTCGACCTGGCGCAGCTGCTGCGCCAGGTGCTGGCCTGCGGCGGTGATGTCGCCGACCACGCGGGACTCGGTGCCCCAGCGCACGAGGCCGAAATCGTCAACGTTGACGGACAGCTGCGCGGCAGGGCAGGCAGCCTGCACGGCATCCAAAGGGCCTAAGATAGTCAATTGCAACATACAAGTGGCAAAAGTACATCCAGGCACAATCGTTTGCTCAACACTAAGGAGGGACCCCACATCAAGGATGCGCGGAGCGCGATAGATTTGGACCAAAAGATACAATTGCCACATGGGAAAGCCAGTGGCCGCCGCGGCGGCCAGCAAATGATGATGCTGAACAAGCTCGAAAGCCTTCTTTAAGTCGAGCAACAGAGTGGCACACGCACGATCCTTATAGGTAGAGTGTTCTGACCAGGCCGCCTGGATCCAAACGCATTTCTCAGAAGCCTTACCGTGGGTGCTCCAAAAGAAGGCCCTGAAGTTATCGGCCTGCCACTTTCTGATGAGAGGACGTCTCAAACGACGCTGGACCCTAGCCAAGACGTGCAAGAGCCCCAAGGGCCTGACACCACCCGCCCTCTTAAGAATGAACACGATACGGTTCCACATGCCGGGCCACTCACGCCTATGCTCAATATGGTGCACAATGTCGCACAGAGCCTCGAGAGCGGCAGGCGGCAACAGCAGAAGAGATCGAGGGGAGATCTGATCGAACCCCGTGCCCGACGAGGGCTTGAAAGACTTGAGAGCTCGCACGAGCTCGGCCACCGTGGGCCGCGGGGGGGGGTCCTCAAGCTCAGGCCAATGGAGAGGCTGGTGCTCAACCCCAACTTGCCACCAACGCTTCCACTCGCCTTCGAGAGCTTCGATCGACTCGAGCGAAGTGCAGGGCCGAAGAGTGCCATGCCAGAGGGAGGCAGGCTGAAAGGGAGTGGGGAGGGCCGGAAACTTGTACAGAGCGGACATACCCCCAGAAGAATGCTTGCCAACCCATCTCCCCCATTCACGTTCCTTGGCCTGAGCGCAGGACCGCTGAAGCCGCGTCGCCTCGCGACTCGCAAGGTCGGCGAGGCACCGCGCCGACTCCGCCGGGAGGAACAACACCTGCCTCAGCATCGCCGTCCACGCGGCGATCTCGGCCGTCTCTGGCAGACGGTGAAAGCGAGAGAGGCGCCCAGCAGCTGCGACAAGCTGCGACCTATGGGCGCCAACAGGCGACCTACTGAGATCGGCTAGCACATTCTGAACCCTGCGCCACCAGCAAGCAAGAGGGGGCAACTTAGGGAACCGAGGAAGGTTGGGGGCCGACGGGGTTCTCCACCTGACCTGAAGGGGCTTGTCCCTCCCCACATACTCGGCACACTGGCCCCCAGAAATCTGAGAAAGATAAAGCCACTGGGCTTCAGCAGCCCTGAGAAAAGCGCCCCACTTATCCTGGATCAGGAGATCAGGATCCGAACAGAGCTCCCCGACGTGGTCCCAGGGGTCAACCTCAGGAGGGGGCCCAAGACAACCAATGGGCAACTCCGTGGGGAACCTCTTAGGGACCTGAACGAACCGAGCACGACAGAGGGGCTCGACCGAGGGGAAGACGAGCCGAACAGGGAGGTGATGGGGAGATGGGGACGTTTTGGACGACTTCAGCCCGAGCCTGACCTGCAATCTGGCGCGAGACAACGAAGAAGTCGATGCAGCGCATGGCGGGCCTGCACGTGCCCTCCGTAGGCGCCGCGATGACGGCGTCGAGAGCGTCGACCCACGACGTCTTGACTAAGTCGCTAGGGGGGCAATTCCAATCGCCACCGACGATGAAGGGCATGCCAGCAGCCTTGAGCCTGGCTCCCACACGCGAGAGGATCGCCCAATTCTGCTCGTCAATGCCCACAGAATGCACCAGGTACAAGTTGACGATGAGGAAGCCACCGCGCAGCATGCCACCCACATGCAAAGCCGCAGCACGAGCGGCAACTACCTGGCTGTCGAAGTTCTCGAGCGGCGCTATCCCAACACGCGCAACTGATGCCGTGACCAGACCGCCTGAAGGATTGCCAGCAGTGGGAAGCGCAGCCGTAGCAGAAGCCGACCAACCAGCAGCACGCATCTTGGACTCAAGAGCCTGAGAGGCAGCGGGCAACATGCGGGACTCCTGCATCAAAAGGACATCACTGTAAATGGACTCCGACAGGTACGCGTCGAGGCCGACCTGCCCGCCGACGTTGGCGGTGATGATCGACCAAGTCTTCTTCGCCTTCCTGCTAAACAGTCGGCCGAGCTGCCGCAGCGGAAGAGGTGCCCATCGGATCGTCGAACGGGGTGCACTTGAACTTCTTCTGCGCCGCGTCGTTGAGCCCACCGACGATGTTGTCGCACTGCTTGCGAGACAAGCCCTTGGACTGCAAGATCTTGTCCCATCCCTCGTCGGTGGTGAGACGCTGCAAAAAAGATGAGCAATGAGAGGCAGCTTGCTGGCCGCCAGCCGCTCCCTGTGCCGAGCCGCTGCCCCCAACACCCCCCTTCCGCCGCCCCCCCCCCCCCCCCCTCCAGACGGCGCAAGGGTGGCGGGCGCAGCGCCTGGAGCAAAGGGCGACCCTGCCGCTCCGAGCGCGTCTCCTCCAAAGACGGCTGTGGCAGCGGCGGCAACGTCAAGGAACTGCGGCTCAGAGACAGGAGCGTCGCGCATGCCGTCGTCGCTCTCGCTCGCGGCCTCCTCGCTGCCGTCGTCGGCAGGGCGCAGCATGCCATCACGAGTAGCAAGAAGAGAACGCAGCGAGCTCGCAAGCCCTTTGTCCATGGCCTCGAACTGCAGCAACAACGCGAAGGCAGGACCATCAGGCTGAACTTCGGTGACCCCGCCGCCAGGAGGCCGAGCCCGCACAGGACCACCGCTGGCAGCGGCCCAGGCCGCAGTGACCTTGGCCGCACACGCGAGCTCGTGCGCCTGCACCTGCTCGAGCTTGGCCTTGAGCGCCACGAGCTCCAAACACTTCGCCTGCACGTGAACCTCGAGCTTGTCAACCTTCTGCTGCACCTGCGACGCCTCGCGCTTGGCCTCGTCATGGGCCACCTGGGCGTGCTTGGCGACCGCCTTGGGGTCGCCCGCCGCCAAAGCCCGCTGAGCCAAGACCCTGGCACGCTGGGAAGGGCCCAGGAGCGACTTGGAGGTCTCGAAATCAGCATCGGACATCTTGACGAACACGGAGAGCTGAGAGGCGTCGAGCAGCGGGACCTTGGGCTTGGCATCCTTCTGCCGCGGCGGCCCATGAGCCCAGTCCCCTTGCGGGGGCGGAGCTGGGCGAGCAACAGGCATAGGAGGACGCTCAGCACCACACTTGTAGCAATACTTCTTGAACGGAAAGTTGGTTTTGAAACCGCACTTCTTCTTGGGACAGCGCCAGACATCGCCACCGCCACGGCTGGTACCTCCCATGAAAGCTTGAGCCAGCAAAGGTGCTCCAACAGGAGCTCACAAAATGGAGCCTGCGCGGGGCAGTGCGTGTAGACTGTGGGGGCCGCAAATTCCCCCTCGCCAGTGAGGCCAGGTCCAGAGCCAGAGAAACGCTACGGACTTGAGCCAAAATGGCTACGGACCTTCCCCTCCTCCTTCCCTTCCTCCTCCCTCCTCCTCGCACTCCTCGCCCCCCTCCCCCCCCCTCCCCTCCTTCCCCCCCTTCCCCTCTTATTCCTCCTCTTCTTCTTCGTCTTCTTAGTATTGGTATTATTTTGATGACTCTTCTTATTGTTATTACTGTTATCCGTATTCTTCTTATTTTACTTATTATCATTATTATTCTTTTTCTTCTTATTATTATTATTGCGCGTCCTATTCTTAGTCTTAGTATTCTTATTATTAACATTAGTATTATTATTCGTCTTATTTTTCGTATTGTTAATATTATGCTTATTATTATGCTTAGTATTATGCCTCTTCTTCTTCTCCGTAATAATATTATTAGTTTTATTCGTCTTCGTCTTCGTCTTCTTCTTCTTCTTCCTCTTCCTCTTCCTCTTCCTCTTCCTCCTCCTCCTCCTCCTCCTTCGCACCTCGGGGCCTTATGGGTACGCCTCGGGCCTGCTGGGCTCCAGGCCGTGCCGCTGCCCCCATCCCCCGCCCAGCACCCCTGGCGACGCCTCGAGCCGCCGGGCCTCCCCAACTCCTCCTCCTCCCTCCTCCTCCTCCTCCTCCTCCTCCTCCTCCTCCTCCTCCTCATCATCATCATCATCATCATCATCATCATCATCATCCTGATCCTGATCCTGATCCTGATCCTGATCCTGATCCTGATCCGCATCCTCCTCCTCCTCCTCCTCCTCCTCCTGCTCCTCCTCCTCCTCCTCTCCTCCTCATCCTCTCCTCATCCTCTCCTCATCCCTCCTCATCCTCATCCTCCTCCTCATCATCATCATCATCTCATCATCATCACATCATCATCATCAGTCAACAATCATCATCATCATCACGTCCTCCTCCTCTTCCTCTCCTCCTCCTCCTCCTCCTCCTCCTCCTCCTCCTCCTCGTCCTCCTCGTCCTCCTCGTCATCCTCCTCCTCCTCCTCCTCTCGTCGTGCTCCTCGTCCTCCTCCTCTCGTCGTCCTCCTCCTCCTCCTCCTCGTCCTCCTCCTCGTGCCCTCATGACCAGAGACCCGAAGCGCCGCCCCGCATGCCCCGCGACGTTTGCCCCACGTTGCGCTCCAAACGCCTCGTGCACGCCAGGACGGGCGGCATCGCTGGGACCCCCCAAATTTCAATGCTGGCACGCGCGGGGGAGACCGCGGTCGAAGTGCAATTCACGCCACCCACCGCCAACACTGATCAGTGGGGGGGGGCACTGACAGACGAATGCGGCACGAGTGCTCGCCAAGTTCTTCCGAAACCTGGTGTGCACCCGCATGCGCCACCAGCAGACCGCGCGAGCAGCGATTCCCATCAGCGCGTGGAGCGGGAAGCCGATCCCAGGCACTGCTAGGCCGCCGACTCAGAAGGCCTGGCGAAGCAGCACTACAAGAGGGAGGAGGAGGAGGAGGAGGAGGAGGAGGAGGAGGAGGAGGAGGCGTATGCAAAGGAAGAGGAAGCGTAGGCTGAAAAGGAGGAGGAACCAAGAGGAGTAGGCTGAAGAGGAGCCAGAGGAGGAACATAACGGAACGGAACGCCTGTGCGGGCATGTGCCCGGGCCCCTTAAGGGTGAGGCGGGTGAGGCCTTGGCCTCGCAGGAGGAATTGCGCGCGTCGGGCGCCTGCTCAGGGAGATGCGTGGTTCACGAAGATGTCTTCCAACTGCTCCCATTCGTTTGTTGTAGCTGACTGTGACCGCGTGGTGTCATTGAGGTCGTAGTGCCTCCGCAGCTTCTGGCTTCGGGTGTCTGCGTCTTGATGATGGTAGAGAAACCAGCGGATATCATTGTCCCATCTCTTCCACTGTCGTCCATGATGTCGTTGCCTGGTCTGGGCGGCGTGGAGGCTGGGGTGCCACTGAAGAACGCGTTGTGGCCATTCTTGCGGTAGATGATTCGCAACTCGGATTGCGCATCTCCATACCATTTTGCGCTGCAATGCTACCCACTATTGTAGGTCGTGCTTGTGCATGAGAGCCTCTGCTCGTCGAGTCGCTCGCTTGACGTATTCAACCCATGGTTCCAAATCGTCGGTGTCGGGATGGTTGTCGCTGTTGCCGTGGATGTTGTTGATTTTTTCGTCGGCGGTTTCGTTGTTCAGGTGATTTGTCGGCGGGTTGTTGTCTACGTCTTCTCCGTCGGTGCTGTCGGCGCTGGGTCCAGGAGCTGGTGTCGGTGGCTCTTGCAGGCTGGTCGCGCTGGGCGTTGGTCTGACGTCGGTGCTTCGTCGTCGGGGGGGGGGGGGGCCGATGATCATGCGCAGCATGCGCCGCTGTGTGCGCTGTAGCTGTTGTCGCAGAGGCACAGTCAACGTCCAAGTACCCGCGCCATAGAGAATGGTCGGAGTGACCGTGCCGTCGAACAGACGGAGTCGATGTTTCAGCGGATAGTGCTTCCCTGTAAGCTCCTGTCTGAGACTTGTGAATGCTGCCCAACCTGCCCTGAGGCGGTTGTTCACCTCTGTGGATACGGCGTCGTCGAAGCTAATGCACAAAACCAAATACTTCACTGAGCAACTGTAGGATAAGATCTCGGTCTCGAGGCCGTCGATTGTCACCTTGCGTTGACGAGCTCACCCCGTGCGTTCGGAGAAGCTGGAAATGATCTTCGTTTTGTCGGGATGTGCTTGTAAACCGTGCGATCGTGCTGTTGTGGCCAGATCCGTAAGCATCGCGGTGAGGCGAGGGAGTGTCCGGTCCACGAAGAGAACGTCGCCAGCGAATCGGAGGTCCGCGAGGCAGCTATCTGGTGAGAATCCAAGTTGGACTCCCTGGGCGCGTTGCTGCCACTCGGTGACGAGAGGTCTCATGATGTACTCGAGGAGCGAATTGAAGAGTAGTGAGGTGAAGGGATCCCCGTGTTTCGTGCCTCTCCGTAAATTGAGTGGGCGGCTGGTCGAGTCTGTCCGTACTGTCGCTGTTTGCTCTAAGTAGAGCCGCCTCAGGAGGTGGATGTAATCTGTTGTGATGCCCTGGCTTTCAAGTGCCGCCCAAAGGCTGTCGTGCTCAACCGTGTCGAATGCTTTCTTGCAATCGAGTGCAGCAATCCAGAGAGGCTGGTTCCATTCCCGTGCTCTTTCCCTCAAAGGTGGAATGTAAATAAATGGTCCTGCGTGGATCGCCCAGGGCGGAAGCCTGCTTGATCTGGATATTGCTGCTTGTCTAACTGCGGCTGCAATATGATGTACAAAAGTTTACTGAAGAGCTTGTATAGTGAAGGTATGCTGCAAATGGGCCAGTAGTTCTGAGGTTGTCAAGGGTCCCCTGCTCTAGGGATGACTGTGATGACCGTCTGTCGCCAACTTTGTGGGGTTGGTGCGTCTGGTCGAAGAATCGTGCTGTAGGATTGCTTGCTTCAACTCCAGCGGAACATGTTTCAACATTTCCGCCCATATTCCGCTCTGGTCTGGTGCTCTGCCACGCTTGAGGGTGCGTAGTGCTTTGTCGAGCTCTTGGGAAGTGAATGGTGGTATGGTGTCGTCGTGGTTGCCAGGTGTCGTAGCTGGTCGAGTGGAGTGGTAAAGCTGCTTGTAGAAGTCCGCCAAAACGTTTGCAATGGACTCTCTCTGTATGCATTCCATACCACGGATTTCTGTGATGAGCAAAAGGAGGAGGAGGAGGAGAAGGAGGAGGAGAAGGAGGAGGAAAAGGTGGGCATCGACTGAAACGCCGTCTGCTGACACAAACGGCGATGGGCTGCGGAAGGGAGAAGACGGGGCTACAGGGGGCCGAGAGGCAGCAGACACAGGCAGCAGTCAGCCCCACAAGCCCGCCCCACGCGTCCAGAGTGGCTCCCGTGGACGGGTGCAGGCCACGACGAGCCTCATCTGGCTTCTTCAGCTGCCCTGTCCCTGGTGGACGGGATCACGGAGGCCCCCAGACTGGAAGCCGAGAGGGACCTCGTGAACCCCATGGGGCAACATGGGGAAGGAGCAGCACGTCGTGCAGCTCAAAACTCTGCTGGTATCGGAGACCGAACGTCCACGATCGGCGAGCTTCTTCAGCGCGTCGTTCCCCGGAAAAGGCGGCGTGGGAAGAGGAGGCACGGAGGAGGCAGTCGGAGCAGCAGCAGCAGCAGGGGCCACCATGACCGCCTTAGGCTGCACGGTCGGCCCGTATCAGGAGGATGCGCGACAAGGATGCAAGGGCCTTGGACGCCCATTCCGAAGCTTTTCGAACGGGGCGCGGCCAACGGAAGTGGCCAAGGATGGACCGAGGAGGCATTGGATGCAAGGGGCACCCCTGGGAAGGTTGCCCGTCCTTCCTACGCGGGCTGGCTGCAGCTGCAGCGCGTGCGGGCCCGCAGCTTCCGACCGCTCCTGGACCCTCCAGGCTGACAGGGAGGTGGTCTTGCACGCCTTCTGCAGTCGGCTGCTAGACGACCGCTACCCGCAAAGTGACTTCTCGCAAATGGCCTGGACCCGCTGCCGGGGAGATCCACGATACATCACATCAAAGCAGACAGGTGCTTTTCGGACGTTTGCGGGTAGGCACTTTGCGAGCAGTGGAACGCGCTCGGTGACATGCGGCTGCACCGGTGTGCGAAGCGTGCCGGTGGCGCGGGCTCCCACGCAGCAGCGCGCTCGGACCCCACCTCGCCGGAGCGCGCGTCCAGGAGCAGCCACGCCTCGAACGACGACAGCCCGGGCGGGGGAGGGGGCCCCTCGCGCGACCCGCGGGGGGCAGCGCGTCGGCCCACCGCACAAATCGCGCGAGCCTGGACGCAGACCGGAGGGTTTTGTCCCGTGGAGCTGCAGCTCTGGCTCGACAGATCTGGTGAAACCCCAGGAGACCACTGCGCTACTTGTAGCAAAAATCGCACAGTTGTCAGCACGGGCATTACCAACCCAATTATTACAATCGCGCCCTTGCTCGTAGGCGTGGGCCAAAACTGTTCTCCACACTCCAGCGAAGTGTTGCATGCCTCTGGTAAACTCTGGGTCCCAACTTTGCCCTTCTCGGACAGGGGACAGATCATCTGAGACGAACATCCTCCTGCTAAAGCTGACCCAACGCGTGCGAAGGGCAACAGCGCGAGATCCAGCGCAGATCCCAAAAAACTGCGCGGAGCGCTCAACACTCGTGTTTGTGGCGTTTTTGTTCTTCTTTGATTCGGCTGTCCCGTGTGCCCCCGTCTTCCGTGCCCCCGTTTGCGGCGCCCAGGGCCCCCTGAACGGGGCACAGCCAAGCGTGGAAATCGGCGCTCCCCGTGCCCTCTGCTTCGGGGATCTCCTGGCCCGGGTCCATCCAGACCCGGGCCAGTCGGGCCTTGCAGGACCCTGCAGGATCCTGCAAGATCCTGCGCCCAAGCCGGGGTCAAGGCACCCCAGGCCTGCAGCAGGATCCTGCAAGATCTGGCGCTCTGACTGACCCCTATTTGCATTGACCCCCGCCCCGTGAGCCCCGACCGTGTTACCCAGGACGAGGAGGAGGATGAGGAGGAGGAGGAGGAGGAGGAGGAGGAGGAGGCGGGACAGGAGGAAGAGGGGCAGGGGGAGAAAGAGAAGGAGGAGGAGGAGGAGGAGGAGGAGGAGGAGGAGGAGGAGGAGGAGGGGGATGAGGATGAGGCGGAGGCGAAGGAGGCGGAGGAGGAGGAGGAGGAGGAGGACGAGGAGGAGGAGGAGGAGGAGGAGCCCTGCCCCGGTTTCCCGTGCCCCCGCCCGTCTCCAGCGCCCTGCCTGTCGGTCGCCCGTCGGCTGCCGAGGGGCGGCCCGTCGTCGTCTGTCCGTCGCTGTCGGGGGACCGAGCGCCGAACTCGCGAAGAGAGGCGGCGTGTGCGCAGCGGGTGCCCGAGGCGCCGCGTCTTGCGCGCACTCGTTTCTCCCGCCCAGCATCGATCTGAGGGGGCCCCGGGACACAGAGAGAAATAGGCACACATCCCGGGAATGCCCCCAGATGTTCTGGATGCTCCCCTTCCCCTTCCGCTTCCCCTATTTGTCCAAACTTTCCGGGGGATCGACGATTGCTTGCGTCTGCTTTTCTTGTTTCCTCCTGACGGTTCTCTCCTGCATCGCTGGCAGGCGGGGGTAAGGCTCAGATTTCGCCGCGTGCTCAACGAATTCCCAGCCCTGGCCCCGCCGCGCACCGAATTGACACAATCGAGGATCGGCGAGGGTGCCCGTCCCCTCCCTGCTCTTCGCAACACGTGCATCTCGCTGGCGGGGCCAGCTTGGGGGACGAGTATCGTGAAACCGGTCCCCATCCACAGCGGCGTGGCCTGGGCCCCACTGACCGATTTACCCTCCTAGATGGGGATAAGGTCGTTCCCTTGGGGTTTCGAGGGGTGCATCCCCAACTGGGGTGGTGGGGTCTCGAAGGGGATGGGGATGTGGATGAGGATTGGTTAAACGATACCGAGGGTACGCACCCCAGCCA